CGAAGAAGAATATGCAGTTTAAAACAAAATTTTTCGAGGAGATCAGCGATTGACCCTTTGCACTCTAAAATCATGATGTAATTTCTCAACACTGTTCTCTATACATCTCTAGGAATACTTACAATGAGAATTTTTTCTAAAAATCAAGAACTTATCGGGTGTGCGATCGTTTATTTCCATGACCATAAAGTTTGATTCAAGGGTGATGCTGCTAGGGGGGTTGGATGTCCATCACTGTTAAGGGTTAAAGGGTCAGGCTATTTTAGCGGATTCCACAGATACCTGAGGTTTTTGGGTTCAAATTGTCATATGGGATATAAATCTGTTCTCTTTGTTCTTTGTCTCACTTTATGAAGAACCAATGTAACGCATGCATCGACCTTTCTTTAATTTTAAAATTGCTGCAACGTGACTGGGTGCATGAGAAATTCAGTGTTTTGTCTGGTGGTGTAAGTGTGTTTCTATTCGACCGGAAATCATTCATAAAACTCAGCCATGACAATATCGCAGACTCGTGGTCTCGGTGTGAGTAATATCTTTAATCTAACCTTTATTGCAATGAATGTATACACACATTTCCCTGAAAATAGTTGTGTTAATTATTGAATTAATTAGTAATTAGATGCACGTACATGTTTGGTTGAAAATTTATTGAAAAAATCGCGTTTGATATTGTCAAAGCATAAATGTCAAAGATGTTTTTTTTTTTATATTTTTACCAATTATTTATATTTTACACTGATCACCGGAGGAGGGGTTTGCACAGAAATATTGAAAAGCGCAATATTATAACGATGTATTGCCTATGTACTGTTTCCAGAAATATGTCGTTATTGTGACTGAGAAAAGGCAAACTTCGGTGAGTTGAAAGGCTTGGTAATGGATGCTATACTTTAGATTGAAACACCAACAATTATAATGATAATTATTATATCAATATTATTTATCAGGATGAGCTCATTACCATTGAAGTTCAGTTATTAATTAGGGTCGCAGGAATAAACATGAAAAAGATTGGACATTCTGACAATCAAACGAGGAAAGTATAAAAATAATCTCAGACGCTGATGTTTAAACTCAATAGTTGTACTCTGTAAAATCGTTAGGTGTCTTGATTTAAGCTCTCTTCATAGTTTTATCTCAGGTTACATAAGAAATCGATGAAATTTGCTGTACGCAGCCACAAACTTAACAACACACAATATTTCAAGCCTTCCAGTATTCACAACATTTTCTCCTAATTCAAAAGATTCAACACATACAGTTCGCACAATTTATGGGTTGTGTCCTCGTGTACCGGTACACAAAGGAAGGAAACGTTAACGAACTGCGTCATAACTCCATGTATGGTTATGAAAACAAAAGGAATTCCCTCGTGTACCGGTACACCAGGACAGCCCCAATTTATGTGGTCTCTCTATGCACTGATAACTCCTGAACACCATACTCGGAAATACACACAGAACTCAGAACGAAACTACATCAATACCATTTCAACTTCAACAGAATGAAGGCCAAACATCAAATCATAGATAATACCATATAATCATAGAAACCTCTTTTAAGTTGGCTTATTTCTATAAAATATTGTTTTTCTGAAAAATGTTTGCGATCAATATGAAAGAAAATACGTCATGGATGGTGCATCTCGAAAAATAAAGTGACGCAAATCTTTTCAAATTCTTCCCTGTTCTCGAGCATTCTCGTTCTGTGCGATTCATTATTAACTCTGATCTTTGCTTTCCATGGTAAATTATAAATTATTTAACTGCTTTATTCTATTCATATTCAATTAGTTTTATGTATCATGACTTAGTTAATTAATTGTGGTGAGGATCGAACTGTATTCATTCTTCCGTTTCATGTCTGTTTACGCAATATTCTCTCCACTGTTTTTGTCACTGCTTTGCGTAACGTGCCAATTCTCCAACAGTACAAAACCGGGTTAATGGACGAATTCATGAAAACTGCAGTTGTTGCGAAACCCCAAGCACTATTCCAGTTATCAGTTACGAGATACAAGGTTATAGCGATGGACATTGGCATATAAAACACAACCATAACAATAAAGAACACAAACGAATTTAGCGCACTGGTCTTCAACTGTTTAAAGTTGGAAAGATTTTCTGTTCTTGAAGCTTGCACCGCTTGCTGTAGAGTATTGATCTGTAGTTTTTGACGTTTGACGATTCTGTAGATCCCAATGTAGGCGAGAATTGATATCAATAAAAAAATGCCCACGCCAAGAGCTACGAGGAAGAAATAAACAAAAGGATTTAAATAGTAAATTGCCGAAAGAAGTAATATCAATAACCAAATTATCGCTATCGAGTAAATTGTTCGAGATTTCGTCACAAGAGATGGATAACGCATATGGTAGTGAAGAGCCAAAAATCGGTCGACGCTGATGGCTGTTATGGTGCAAAGAGAAATCCCACATGCGGCAAATGACACCGTGAACCACAAACTATCCAGAAGTTTATTTCTTGTAAGTACAGAGGCTATATAAAGTGGTTGAATCAGTGTGCCAACAAAGAGATCCGAAACTGCCAGGCTACAGAGAAGCAGAATAGACGATGAACGAAGTGATGGTGTTTTAAAAATGGCAGCGAGCACCACAGCGTTGCCAAATATGGAGAGAAGTATCAATGGAACATTTATAGCACAATTTACGATGACGATAATTTCCGGCTGAGAGGAGTTTTTCGCGACTTGTGAACCATAAAATCCTGAGCTCCCGGGCATGCTTAAGTCTTGAAGATGTTCTATTCCAAACCTTCCTGTGCTCCAGAGACAAGCAGCTGACGCTTATCTCTCAACTTTCGAACTCAGTTGAAGTGTGATTTTGTAATATCAGTACGTCAAGTTTTATGACATTTGATATCTATGTATGGTAATGGCAAAAAAAAGCCAAATTAAGTACAAGAGCAATATGCGCTTCGATAGCTAACTTACATATCAATGTTATGTTTATTTGAATATCATTTTTCTTTTGATAGCATGAAAATCTAGGATTCCGTTTTAAAAAAAGTTTCGATTTTATTTAAAATGCATTTTTACACCTGGTTTCATTTCATGAAGATTGCTTGTAAATGTCAACAATTTCCTGGCGTAATTATTACAAGGGAGACAAACATCTGACAGAAACTGTGAGACACCAATCCAAAAGTAAGATATAATTTATGTTTTTATTACTATTTGTTCAAGTCTATCATGAACGGCAATTTTGCAAGAAAATTTTGTTACCCGCTTGAATCCATCAAAAGAACAGAAATAATCAGAAAGTGAAATCTACTGATGTAAATCAGTATTACTTTACAAAGAGAACAAATTTTTGGTAAAATTGAAACGGAAATAGAGTCCTTAGATGATATCATAAAAGTGACAACCGAATCACTCTCGAAACCAGAGTTACTCACCACTGCGCATGTCAGAAAGAGACAAGCCTTTCGGATCATGCGAAGCAATACAAACCAAATTCATGGGAAAATAAATACAGAGTTATTTTAAAATTTGAAGGGCACCATTCCTAGTCGCTTCAAATTTTGTTAAGTGGCGTTAAGTAAAAAAAAGGCTTAATGAACAGTCTCATTGAACAATCAAATTCTGAATGTGTTTGTCTTCGAAAAAAAAAAACATTGAATGACATCTCAGCAGACATACTCATCCAAAGAAAAATTTTGACTGAAAGCACCTACAAATCGAGTGATTTACACGAAATTTGCTTATATAGTTTCGAAGAATTTATTAGCCTTCCCGGAAGATTCTTATGCCAAATTACGTTTTTTGGACAGGCCTCGCTGCGTCTCCGTGTATACGATAAAACAATATACGCAGGTTTTCTCTATGGCGTTACACGATAAGATGGACATCTTTGACAGGCTCACAAGATATTGTGGTCTTTTGGTAAAGATGATTAAAAGAAGACCCAAATTCTGCGCACAACTCGTCAATACTCAGGATCTGAAAACTTAATTCGAAATTCAGTTCCTGTTTAACCACATTGATCATTACATAATGATGATGCAGTTTTACTTTCAACGCAATACGAAAGGAAGTAGTGATATTGAATTCGAAAGGCATGTTTTTCTTTTGTCAACTTTTTCGCTTTTTATCATATCTATATCCAATCATCATTTCAGAGAATTCTGTCAATTAGTTAAAGTCTGAAAGTTTTCTGCGTTTTCGATTTTCTATTTTATTTGATAGTTTTTGCTTCTTTGCATCATTTCTTTTATTTTTCCTCTGAGGCCTTGGGTAAATTTTTGATATTTCTAACATGGAAATTTATGTTCGAATTTGTGATATTAAACACTTAAATCCCTGTAATGTGTCGTTAAGATGCAGGTGGCAAAGCTTGAATTTGTGAACTACTAAGATATATTGCAAATTTACTCTTGTAAAGGAAACACATTTTCCTTCTCCCTTGCGATTTTCTCAAGGTGTTACACGGCGGTCTTACTTAAATTTTAGACAGATGAAAATGGCGTTCTAGCCCAATTTTCACAAGTAAGGTACTTTAACAATATTCACTATTCACTTTTGTTATGCTAAAAACTTTAGTGGCAGTGGAATGGAGTTAGATATAAAATGCAAACAAGGGGTTTACAAATTACGAAAATAATTGAACACGAAAAAAAAACGCAAGGGACGTTCGCTTGATTAAGATTAAGGATGCGATTGCCATTCGCGTCTTGCGTATAATTGTTGTGTTGGACACCCAAAAGTCCCTAAATTTATAAGTTTTGTTGTGTGAATATTTTGAATTGGGAAGAGTGAACACACAAAAAAAGCCGACAAATTAAAGGTAAAAATTATCCTCTTTCATTATCCATTCCCACGTTAATGTAAAGGGAAAAAAAAACCTTCAAGAAAGGAAGTCGTTACTTCAAGACCCAAATATCAGGACTTTATGGAATATAATATTTTCATTGAGATACGGGGGCCTTTCATCATCCTATTCATAAATTAATGAGTATTTTGCTCTTTACAAATCTATGAACTTAACTTCTAAAAGGCGACTTAATTGAAAATGAAAAATTTACTGACAAAGCTCTAGTCAATGAGGCACTTTGTCTATTTTTTGATGAAGGTTTGAGCTCTCGAGGAATCCAGATGGTCAATGTTTCCGCTAAAAAACTAAAGCAGCTTCGTCGAAGATGTACAACAGAAACTTGAGCACCACTGGGAATTCAGCTGATACCAGAGTCAAATTCCAAGCGAATGCATCATCATATGGAAATATTGTAGTCGTAAACTGCGTTATAAACGGGATCATGATACTTGTCTCCATTCTAGGGAACTGTTTGGTCTCCATCGCCATATGGAAGACATCATCATTTCGGTCTCCATCCACAATGTTTCTTTTTAGTTTGGCTATTTCTGATCTTCTGGTCGGTTTAATAGTTCAGCCAGTTTACATCGTCACGTCTCTAATAGATGTGTATTTCCTTCAACTTCTTACAGCCCTTATGGCGTTTGCTGCTTGTGGGGTATCGCTTGGCACAATGGCCGCCATTAGCTTTGATCGATTCTTGGCCCTCCATTATCACTTACGATATAACGCATTGATGACGTCATTTCGTGCTACATCTGCGTTATTGACTATATGGATAACAACTTTCTTTCTATCGTGCTTGATATTTTGGGACTCTGCGATCTACATTGCTGTTTTGGCCATTTTTATCATTGCGTATCTGATAACCTCGGCTAATTTTTACGTTAGAATTTATCAGATTGTTCTTAAGCATCGTTCACAGATTCAACATCGAGAATCTGGCAATCGACAGCTTTCAGTCGGACAACTCTCTAGTCAGAAAAAGTTGATCGGAAGCGCTCTGAACACGTTTGTATTTTATATCTGTACTGTTATTTGTTATCTACCAAGGTTTATCTCATTAACACTCACGGATACTAGCACATACAAGAAGACAGCTTGGATCTTGACGGATACCTTGATATTTTTGAACTCAGCTATAAATCCTCTTTTGTATTGCTGGCGTCTACCTGATCTCCGTGCTGCAGTTGTTAGAGTATGGAAGGAATTTTTCGGCATGCAAAATTAAGGGAAAGACACTCATAGCAGTTCTGCTTTGGATGCATTCAAAAAGTATTCTTCGTTTTGACTAGTTCAGTCTTCATATTTTATAACATACAATTTAAGAATATGTTCGTGCTTAGCGTGCGTATATCGAGTTATGGATGCACGCAGGAGGTTTGGGGCACGAAAAATGCAACTAAAAATGTAACTACATTTATTTGAGCGCTATCATCCTCGATGTTACGGTTCTGAATGCTTAAGGTCCTCATTGTCTACAAATTACATACCTCTTTACCGAATTTTTAAATACTTTCTTTTTAAGTATTTTGTCCGTAACGGCTGTTTCATCTTTATGTATAGTCATCCATTCTTGTTCCCTCAGCTCCGCATCAGTTGGTGCAGTGTATATCCTTATAAGGTGACTCGAAATATGAGCTGATAACTGGGACTGAGTGAACGAATCAGAACGTTAGAAACGCAATATTCCATGTTGAAAATTTAATGATAGTGATTTTTTTCTGTCACAAGGAAATAGTCAATTCGTTTAATCCTCAAACAGATAAGAGCATTACATTTAAAATTAAATATTTACGTAAGAGACATCTATCTGTCGAGAGAAAACTTCGCAAGACTGCCTAGCTTATAATGTAATATTTGAAACTGAAATTTCAGTGAACATATTCGATTGTGCGAAAACAAACTTTGTTAAGATAGAGGAAATTATTGCTCATTGCTGTGACTATATCTTGTCAAGTAACAATTGGATTGTTTATCAAGAAAATGCTGTAGTCAGGTTACAAAACGATAAAATTAACTGATATGAAATTAACTTGTAATATTCTCCTTTTTTATATTAAAAAGTTCAGGCTGAGATTAACCAAAAGTGCAAGAACTTCCTAAGGACATATCTAGGCAGACAGTCAGTTTATTAGGAATGTCTTTATTTTGTTCATTTTTTTTTTAGGAAGAATTACAATTAAAGGCAGCAGAAATAATTCCACATCACTGGAAACAAAACATTTCGACAGGGTTTTTGGTCACATCAAAATTAATTTGCTAAAAATCATTTTAAGAACGTTTTCAGGCTCAAATCGCGAAAAAAGAAAAAGGTAAGAAAGTTTAGCCTCATCCCCAAAATGAGACGTTCTAAGAAAAAGACTATGTTGTAACTTGATTTATTTAGTAAGTTAGTTGTTATCTTTAAAATTGTCCTTTAGGTGTTTGCCATTAAAAAGAAAGGTATATTCCCAAACTACGAATTATTTGCTGGTGAAAACTTCCAGTGAAGCATATTGTTTTAGGATTCATTATTGTCAGCCAATGTTTTGTTGATGTAATATATTAAGTACCCTCTAGGGTTACTGTGTATGTACCCAGAATACATTGCTGGAATAAAGTTGTGTTGAAGCGGCCATGTTGTTTGACCTCGTGGGTTTATATCACTAGCATTATATTACATTTTGGCGACGAGGATCGGTCGTTTTTCCACGTCATTCAAAAGTGCAAGGTCTTTGGACAACGCTGTGTGTGTTGTGGCATAGAAGATGGCCAGCACTAGTGCGAGTGGATTATTTGGACGTGTTGGCGAGTTCAACGTCGCACGTGAAACGTTTAGTGCCTACGTCGAGAGGATGGAAATGTTCTTTACAGCCAACAACATTGTAACGACAACAGGAGAGGGAAGCGCTGCCACCAACCTTGTGGTAGCGAACAGGAAACGTGCCATTTTCCTGACGGAAGTGGGGCTGGAGGTATACACAACCCTCAGCAACTTATTGGCGCCCACTAAACCGAAGGACGTGTCATTCACTAACATTGTGGAAGTCTTGGAGAAACACTACAACCCGAAGCCCCTGGAAATCGCACAAAGTTTTCACTTTGGCAGGCGAAATCAAAAATCCGAAGAATCAGTTAGCGATTATGTGCTGGCTTTGAAGAGATTGGCGGTCCACTGTAATTATGGTGAATTCCTCAATCGGGCGTTACGTGACCGATTCGTATGCGGACTGAACAATCCGAAGATACAAAACAAACTACTGAACACAGATGACCTCACATTCGAAAAGGCTTGCAGTATTGCCAAGACCATGGAAATGGCAGACAGGAACACCCAAGAATTTCACCCTTCACGCAGTGAAACTGTTCAAGTAAACAAGTTGACAGAACAAGGAAGTAAAAACACTGAAAAGAAGAACACTGAACAATTGTCATGTCCTAGGTGTGGGGGTAATCATTCAGGTCAGTCTTGTAAATTTAAGTCAGCAAAATGCTACAAGTGCTCCAAGATTGGGCATTTAGCTTCTGTTTGTCGCAGTAAGGATGAAAAGGGTAAAATTCATAGTGTACAGGCTTCAGAATCAGGCAATGATGAGTGTGAGGATGAGGAATTAGGAATTTATTCTCTGAATTTGCTTGACCAAAACAAGCCTAATTGCAATAGGTACACTGTAGAAATGGAAATCAATGGTAAACTGTGTATGATGGAGTTAGACACAGCTGCAGATTTCTCAATAATGAGTAGAAGTGAATATCTAGAGAGGTTTGCAGACAAGCCTCTGTCTCCTTCTAAAGTAACACTTAAGACATACACGGGTGAATTACTTGATGTGTCAGGGGAAATGCAGTGTGACATAGTGTATAAGGGTAAACAATACTCTCTACCCATTCTTGTAGCCAATTATGATGCAAAACCTACTTTACTTGGTAAAACTGGCTGCGGCACATTAAGTTTGAGTGGGGTGAGATATTTTGTATTCCCAAGGGAGACCCTAGGAGTGCTGATAGTCAACTGAATGAGTTGCTATCTAAACATAGCGAATTGTTTACTGAGAGTTACAAAGGTATGACGGGCCTTGAGGCCCATATTACTATGAGAGAGGCGATGCAAAACCTGTATTCGTGAAAGCGCGTAGGGTTCCATACGCTTTAAAAGAGCAAGTCGAAAAAGAGTTAGACAAACTAGAAAAGCATGGTGTTATTAAGAAAGTTGACAGGTCACTTTGGGCTAGCACAATTGTGGTAGTGCCAAAGGCTGATAACACTGTCAGAATATGTGGAGACTACAAATCCACTATCAATCAGTCAGTTGAAGATGAGCAATATGTTTTTACCTACTACTCAGGATTTGTATGCTGCTCTGGTTGGCTCTAAGGTATTTAGTAAGCTTGATCTATCACATGCCTATGCCCAGCTGAATGTTGACAAAGAAAGTCAAGAGTACTTGACAATTACCACTCATAAAGGCCTTTATTCCTACCAGAAATTGCCCTATGGGGTCAAGTCACCCCCAAAAATCTTTCAAGCAAAAATGGATCAAATTCTTCAGGGAATTGAAAAATGTGTTTGTAAACAAGATGACATCTTGATAGGGGGCAATGACTGGCAAGAGAATTTCAAGATACTTGCTGATGTGTTGGACAGGCTACACCAATACAATTTGCATTTAAAACTGGCAAAATGCGAGTTTTTGAAACCTGAAGTGGTTTATCTAGGTCTGAGAATAAGTGCCGAAGGCCTGCAACCGGTGGAGGAGAAGATCAGTGCAGTGAAAAGAGCCCCAGCCCCAAAGAATGTGAGTGAATTAAGGTCCTTCCTGGGCATGGTTCAGTATTATCATTCCTTTTGCCAGGGCTGGCTACAACCTTAGCACCCTCTGCATAGGCTTTTGCAGAAAAATATTCAATGGGAATGGACAGATGACTGCCAGAAAGCTTTCGAGGCATGCAAGGAGGGCCTCACCAGTGAGTCGCTGTTGGTCCACTATGATCTAAATCGTGAGCTTAAGTTAGCTTGTGACGCATCGAGTTATGGTTTGGGGGCAGTGCTTAGTCATGTAATGGAGGATGGTCAAGAAAGGCCAATAGCATATGCGTCACGTACCCTCAGCTCAAGTGAGAAAAATTATGCTCAAATTGAACGGGAGGCCTTGTCTATTATTTTCGGAATAAAAAAATTTAATCAGTTTCTATATGGACGAAAGTTCACTTTAGTAACTGACCACCAGCCATTGTTAGCTATTTTGGGCCCAAAAGCTGCTATACCCACACTTGCAGCTGCCCGTATGCAGCGCTGGGCACTTGTCCTTTCAGCATATGACTATAACATTGAGTACAGGAGCTCCGAGAAGCACAGCAACTGTGACGCCCTTTCTAGATTACCCCATGAAGAGTCTAAGATTGGCAGTGAGAGTGAGATTTACAATGTAAGTGCCATTGACAAAGATTTCCCCATAACTGCAAAAGAGATTGGGAAAGCTACATTGATGGATCCAGGGTTAAGCAAGGTACTTGATTGGGTCATGGTGGGGTGGCCAGAGGTTTGTGATGAAGATTTAAAACCCTATTACACCCGTCGACATGAACTTTCTTGCGAACAAAATGGCATTCTCTGGGGTTCCAGGGTGATCATTCCCCCAGTATTTAGGGAAAAGATGTTGGAGGAGTTGCATTGGGAGCACCCAGGCATTTGTGCAATGAAAGCAATAGCACGCACCTGTGTTTGGTGGCCCAAGATGGATGAGGAAATTGCGGACCTCTCCACCTTGTGCCCCATTGATACCCTGGAAATGGGCCACGCGACCCTTTCAGCGTATTCATGTTGATTTTTGTCAGAAAGGGAGTGATTTTTTTTTTGTGGTGGTTGATAGTTTTTCAAAATGGATAGAGGTTAAGCACATGACCTCAATCACCACAGAGAAAACCATAAATGAGTTGCGTCTTATATTTGCCCAACATGGTTTGCCTGAGGAGTTGGTATCAGATAATGGGCCACAATTTGTTTCAAGTGAGTTTGCTGAGTTTATGTATAAATATGGCATTAAACATACCCTAACTCCTCCTTATCACCCACAATCAAATGGTGCTGCTGAGAGATCAGTCAGGGTGGTAAAGGAGGCGCTTGTCAAACAAGTTCTAAAGGGAAACAAGGGAAGGTCTATCAAACATAGACTAGCAGACTTCCTCTTGAGATACCGTACCACCCCACACAGCACCACAGGTGCTACGCCAGCAGAACTGTTGATGAGACGCAGACTGCGTACTCGTTTAACTCTAGTGAAACCTGATCTAGCCAAAACCGTAGAGAGTAAACAAAATAAGCAGAAGGAATATAAGGATTTAAAGGGTCATCAAGATAGGCTGTTTGCAGAGAATGACATAGTTCGAGTGAGAAATACTCAAGCCCGTAGCAATACTGAGAGGTGGATTCTGGGAAGGGTAGTTAAGGTCTGTGGACCCAGAACATATTTAGTTAAGACTGGCTATAAGACCAGATATGTTCATGTTGATCATTTAATTAAAGCACATGATCAGGTGCCACATGAAACTAGAGAGTTGGACATACCTGTCCCAGAACTGTGTGAGCAACCTACTCTAAGTGTAGATAATAGCCAAGTTTCATCCGGGGTGCCGCAGCCACCAGTCAATTTTTCAGATAAAGATAATGAGCCTAATTCTAGTATTAGTGAAGAGAATGTAAACACACCATCGCCGGTTGTTCTGAGGCGATCAGAGAGAATTAGGAAACCTGTTGACCGACTGAACCTGTAGTGAATGTTATAGCTACTATTGTGTTACTTGTAAGGATATCTTATTTGTAAGGGGAAAGCAGTGTAATATATTAAGTACCCTCTAGGGTTACTGTGTATGTACCCAGAATACATTGCTGGAATAAAGTTGTGTTGAAGCGGCCATGTTGTTTGACCTCGTGGGTTTATATCACTAGCAATATATTACAGTTGAATGGTCTGTTTAAGGAACGTGAGATAGAATTAGTTCTTTTCATCAAGCTGGTGTGCGCAATAAACAGTAATTCAATGAAATGGTGGTTAATAATGGATGATATTTATCGGCCGGCAAAGAAGGAAGGTAGATATCTATTATTTTCGCAGAACCCCCAAGGAAGTTTATCGTTTATTAGTATGCACCATATATACAGGTGACACAACTAGCGGACAAAAAAAATTGCTTTATTTGAGACTATATCCCGACATATGGTGGAAGATTCGACGTTTTGCTATCTACAGTATGGATAAGTGTAACTACCTAAAGTTCGTTACAATTAGAATTCCCAAGTGTTTTGTCTTCCACTGGGCTTTATTCATGTCTTCGAAAAATGCAGCAAACAAGATATTTCATTTTCAATTTTATTTCCCTTTTATTTTGTCACTGGCACAATTCATGGTGATAATTTCTGCAAGATGGTAAATTGCTCTTGGCTGTTGTTTCCAAACTAATCAATCACCACGCTTAAAAAGCACGACCTTCTCTTGGGGTAATCATCCAAGAGCGAAAGTGATCCATCTTGTCAAGTGGGAGAAACGCAGTGTCTCCCTTAGTTCTGAAAATCTAAGTTCCCCTGCGGCGTTCTACATAAAATTTGCCTTATCGTTTGCGTTACTGCGATTCTAAGCTCTGTTAAGCGCCAACAATATAGAACTGGATTGATAGAAGAGTTTAAAAACACAACGGTATCCGCGAGTTCCCACACTTTTGACCAGAGCTTTTTAGAAAAGAAATTCAGTGATAGAGAAACAAGCAATGGCAAATAGCACACAATGATTGCGAAGTAAAACACAAAAGTGTTCACAGCACTCCTTTGTAATCGAAGCATGCTTGTGACATTGAGATCTACGCTTTCCATTACATGTTGCTGAACTTGAATTTGTATGTGATGCTGTCGAACGACTCGAAAGATCCGATAGTAGGAGTAGGAGGAGAAAATCAAACAAATGCAAATGGAGATGGATACTCCCAGGTAAAAATAATACTTGCTCCAGAAGTAAAATCCGGATAAGAGACCTACGCCGAGCCAAATTAAGCCTGATATGTACAAAACCTTTTGAACGGTGACTACAGTAGGATATCTCATATGGTAATGCAGTGCAGCGAATCTATCCACACTCACAGCTGTTACTGTACAGAGCGAAACACCACAGAGGACAAATTCCATGATTTCGACGAGGCGGGATCTGTTAAAAATATCTAACTGTTTAGCAATGTAAAGAGGCTGTACCACAAGTCCGACAAGCAAGTCTGATAGAGCCAAACTGCAAAGCAAGACGGTAGTTGATGAACGAAGCGAAGGAGTTGCTAAAATGGTCCCAAAAACTAAAGCGTTTCCGATAATGGAACTCAGCATTAACGGAGCATTTAAGATTCCGTTAATAAAAGCAAACGTGTTGGAATTTCCACTTCCTTCAAATGAAGATGTCTCGTTCTTCGCTGGTATATTGGTCGAATTCATAGTTGGCAGGTATTTTTAAATATCGAACTTCACAAAGTCGTTTCAGTAATTTTGTAGATTGAAACCCATCTTGTCTCACGAATTTCAGTCCGTGTCTTGAAAACTTTCCAATTTCAAAGAATTTGGCCCAGTGTGGCAAATATTATGTTTATATGCGGAAAGCAGTTAGTCTTCTACATACGAAAATTATGACATGTAAATGACACTGACCTATATTATTCAGGCGAAGATCTTCAATTATCATAAATTGCAGCTCGCAGCTATCTTTATCTTTAATAACATTTGCCTGTCAGAAAACAAAGCTCAAAGATCTATGGATGAATTCTATTTAAGCTTCTGTTTTAATCACAAGGAATAAATTAAACACTCGAGCTTAGATTTCGCGTCCAAGTCACTCGCTTTAAAAGTTTTTAAAAATCATAAGGGACTTGTTTGGCTAACGCCTCCACTGTTTAATCGTTTCTCATTGAAGTTTAATCTACGACAAAATATAATTGCCAACAAAAACAAAGGAATAGGTCTGCAGGCAATCTTGCACCCGTCAAGTTATTGTTTAAAACCCATTAAGAAAGGTGCCAAATTTGTCGGTAGTCACCTAATCGGCTAACATATGCTCTTAGGAACTGCCAAACGAAATGGTAATATTGTTTGTGAAAGGAGTTAGCACAGATATCTTCTTCTTCATTGAATATTACTTTGCGTTATATAGCTAGGTATGAGGTCAAGTGTGTAATCATCGCTTGGAACGGTTCAAAGAAGCTTAGAATAAGGTTCAGTTACATTGTTATTAACGCTGTTATAAAACTGAGAAACGAAGGCGATCGAAACGATTAAAATGGTGCACTATTCAGTAACCCTATCTCATTTAAAAAAAAAAGCTGAAGGAATATGAAGATGGATTCACCTGTGATAGATTGTACAGACATAGAGATTGCCACACCTGGGCTTATGAGCCAGCAGAATGCTACGTATTCAAATTATAGGGGAATGCATTCCTTCAAGGTTATTGTGGGTGTAGCGCCAAATGGTGTTATTACTTATGTCAGCAAACTTTATCCAGGGTCAATATCTGACAAAGCAATTGTGCAGAAATCAGGATTTTAAATCACCTTACTGCTGGAGATATGGTCTTAGCTGACAAAGGTTTTGTTATACAGGATCTTGTACCAAATGGTGTTTCAGTAAATATACCACCTTTTTAAACAATGGTACATTCACTGAGAGTGAAGCAAGGGCAACAAAAGTTATAGCAAAATGCAGAATTCATGTTGAGAGGGCAAATGCTAGGCTCAAAGATTTCAAGATTTTATCTTTTATTCCCTCATATTTACGTTGTCATGCAGATATAATATTTCAACTCTGTGCTTCACTTGTTAATCTGCAGTTTCCACTGATCAAAGAGGGCTGTGAAGGATATGAATTTGATTAATGAACTAATTATTTTTCATATAAGGAAAATTGAATACTTTGTAAAATACATGTTGATCTGTTTGTTTTATTCAAAAAGTAAATCTGCTATCATTGTTGAATTTATGGATGCATGTATAATTTCAGCCCAACAACAGTTCACTACAACAGAGCAGTACAGCTCAACTGTGAAACAATGAAGTGCAAAAACTGTAATTGTTTCTAAAGTTAGTTTGAGTAAACCAGGAGAGCCCTGTTGGGATTTGAAGATCTGTGTTCCTAAAGTTACTAGAGTGAACTTAAAAAGTACACCTGAGCTCCCAATACCCTCCATCTGAAAAGCCTCCCTATCTCAAGAAATTCCACAACAACATGCCACCAGTGAAGACTAAACACCAAAGGGCTCCTAATGATTCCTGAAAATTATAAATGCCTTTTCTGCAAAGTTTAACGACTGTTGTGATAAAGACAAGTCATGTAAATTAATATCTTCTTTCTGAGGAAGTAAAAGGTAAATATAAACATCATTATATTTGATAAGCATAAATTTCTTGCGCAATTGAATTCAATATGGTTTCAGTTAGAGGCAGCTCACTGGCGCTGCGCTACGGGCGGTGCAACCCATATGATTGATTCCTGCGAGCGAAGCGAGTAAAGGCGAGCATGTATGACCTCTCAAAGACCTCCCGCACGCTCCCTTCGCTCACCGGGTGAAACAGGCTCACGGGTTTCAACATTCGCGTCGCAACACCAAAAAGAGACTCTCATGCTATTTAAGGCCAAGCAGTGATATCGTCAAGCCAAAAACATTCGAATGGCGCACATCAAGGCTTTGAAAGTTCCACCTTTGAATAATTTTGAAATAACATGATAATGTTTAATCACGAAGAAGAAGAACATTTGAGTAACAGTAAGGGCAATTTGAGTTACAAGAGGCGGATATTATGCATATAGGAAGATTAGAAAAATTGAGTTACTATTGTGAAACATTAATGTTCCATGTTGCGTACGTTATATTAAAATACAATATTTTGGATGATTTATTTGACGTATACATAAACCAGAAATACTCAATTTTAACAGCGTTCAAGTAATTATTAAATTTTATTCTCATGATTTTAAAATTCAAGGCAAAGAATCTAAAGTTTAGGCAGCTTCATTCAAGAAAATAATTTCAAACTTTGTCTAAGAAAGAAAAGTTAAAACGTCTTTTAGCTTTGATGTGAATGGGTCAGCCTTGTTAAGTAATACTAAGACGGAAATGAAGGAAAAGAATTGGGAACTGGTTTTACCCAAGTCAAGGTAAGTTTTAAATGACATTTACGTTTATTTCATTTTTTTAATAATTTTTTTTATCAATACAAATAAATATTCAAATCCTAGATAGAAGATGCATGGACAAATTGCAATGGACAAATACCTACTTTACGGTTTGCTTTACTAATTACAAAGGCTTATATCAATTCAGCGTGGTCAGTGAGATTTGGGAAAACATCAAATTGGTTCCATCTTTTTTTGAAAAGTCAGTGTTGCACATCTAAATATTATAGACTACAACACTTCTCTCAGTTAAAGAGGCAAACCACAAAAGGAGGGTATTTCAAGTTAAAGACAAAAGGCATCTGTTGTGTGCCAATGTATGCTAAAAAAAACTCTCTAAAGATGATCTTTCATTATCACCCGCATAGTGAAGTTTGGTCTTATTCTTTAACATCTTCGTGCTGCACTCGTCCCAATTCTATTTTCAATGTTGGTTCAAGCTAACACAAACATCTGACAGTTTGTTTCTAGATCAAATAAACTGTTTTTAGCCTCGGGGTAGGGTGCCTAAAACACCAACTGTTGTGTTCATGAACTAACAAACAGAAAGATAAGATTAAGAAATTCCTAGATTTTTCAAAGAGATTATTTGATACACGCGTTAAGAACTCATTTTCTCCTTTTTTCTTTTCCTTTATTTTCAATTATTTATTTTTGAGTCTGTAGAATTAACTGCTCTTTGTTCAAATCGAAACCGCTGTCTGTACTTATCTACATATTCACCACATGCTCTTGATTGTCGTCTTTAATGACCAACCTCCTAACAGTCTAGATAACTGCTTCCCGGAGATCGCACAAACGCCAGCAATACAGAAATGGATTTATGGCCGAATTCATGAATATCAAAGTTGTAGCAAAGTTCCATTCTTCCGGCCAAGGCTGGTGTGAGATGCCATGGAGAGTTAATAAAATGTACATTGGAAGATAGCACATGACCAAGATTACATTAAAAACGAAAGTGTTTACAAAGCTCTTTTTCAGCCGCAGCATTCGCATGTCCCTGGCGGTTCCCGTAGAAGGCGCTTGCATGGCGCCTAGCTGAGCATGAATCTGCTGCTGATGTTTCCGAACAACCACAAAAATGTAGATATATGAAAATGTAGAAATTATCAGACAGGTTGCTGACACAATAGCGATCATAAGGTGATACGCAAAACTGCTCCAAAAGAAGAAAAGCGACGACAGAAAGTTTCCAAGCCAAATGATAGCTATGGCTGAATTGATTCGCGATTTCGTTATTACAGCGGCGTATCGCATATGGAGGTGTAAAGCCAAAAATCGATCCACACTTATGGCCGTGATGATCAACAAAGAAACTCCGCAAAATGAATATGCAACTGTGTCCCAAAGGATGTCCAAGCAACGGTCTCTGGTAAGTTCCTTAGCAATATATAGCGGTTGTGTAATAAGACCCACAAGAAAGTCAGAAAAAACCAGATTTGACAGTATCTTCATCGATGTTGTTCGAATGCAAGGTGTCCTTATAACAGCAGTCAATACCAAACCGTTGCCCAGGATGGATATGAGAAGCAGCGCAGCATTGATAATGCAGTTTATAATGACAATTTTTTTAAAGCCGGACTGGCCGTCTTGTGAATGGCCATGGATTTTGCAAACATCGCCATAGCTCATCTTACCGATAAATCGTGAATCCTTCGTGAGAAAGAGCGTCGTGAATCCAAGCTACAGAACCTACCCAATGTATTCTGAATCGAACAAAATCATGATAAATTGATGAGCTATCTCACGTAATAAGAAATATATTTATTCTAGGGTGCAGCTGGATTTTCACATTCATTAAGTGTTCCTTCAATTATGCATTTCCAATGTTGCAAACCAAGGGAAATTCAGAATATTTTAAACGATTTATTTTTTTGGCAAATTTACCATGTTTGCAATACAGCTTCAACGAAAAGTAAAAGATTGAATCACATTTCTACTTGTTGAAATTTGTTGAAATATATTGATTTTGGTCCATTCGTGCCGGAAAATGATTACTCGATCGGACACGCAATACTTTTTTGAAAACAAAGATCTAGAAACGTGTGTATATACTTTGCAAAATGTTACTCAACGGAGAGTCACTCATTCATAAGGCATTTTCGATAAATGAACTGCAGGGGAAACTCTAAAGTATCCGTTTTATGCGGACATGTTTATTCTAGCTAGGACATGAGCCACGGTATGAAAATTGAGACCAAAAAATATTGAGGTTTCGTTGCAAAACAATAGCACATTGTCAAAGGTGGAGAAAAACAACAAGCCAAGTATCCAATATTTAACACAATTGGGATCTGCCGGAGAAATAATCACGAACGAAAGCTCGTATTTATCTTTTTTCAAAGTTTTATATGATATTGGCGCCTTTTTTTAATTAAAAGGCGCACATTTATATAACTGTTGAGACTCCATGCGTGCAATCATTAAGCAAAAATGTCCTGGAGCTTTCAGTACTAATATTCTCTTTAAGCCTAAAAAAAACTATATCAAATCACATGCACAGCTTGTCTTTTTGTTCTCCTCTTGGGTGCAAGGCTGTAAAGAAGAAAACGAGTACGAAAAATTAATAAACTAAACAAACAAGTGATTCTCGTGCAAAAATTCATGAATTTCTAGCAGCGATATTTCACGAATCTGTTTTTACGGTCATTTTTATTCTGGCAAATCCGGTTTACTCTAGCAGTATCATCTCCATTTTTCGTTTTCCTTTTGTCCTTTTATATAAGATTATCTTCTTTCCCAAGATTCCAACATTTGTCTTTTAACAATTCAACTGAATGAGAACGAACCGCTCCTGAGTAACTAAAAAATTGGGACGAGAGAAAAGTGCCTCATTATACATATGGATTGTATCTCGGTATGTAAGGGCAGATATGTATATAAAAACTTTCTTCGCAGAAGAGAAATCTAGAAATTCTTTCTTTGACAATCGATGAACAACAATTTATCATGTAGATATTAATATTGTTTTTGTTGACTTTTATTATTATGAAGCTTCCCTGACCACAGGTGAAGTATTCTTTTAACACTTAGTAAAATTACTTTAGCAACTCGGAAAAACAATATCAGATTTTCCAAATTTACTATCTACTATCGTGAACCTTTCACTAAGAGATTATGAACTCCCTTACTTTTCACTTGATTACCCTGAAAACTGATGGGAATATGCCGTTCCTTTCCAATCTAGCGTTACATATTTTGATCTTTTAGCCATTAAATGCAATGTGAAGGAAACAAATTCACGAAACTCAAGACTACCATAACACCATTTAGTATGGACTGTCTTTTTTTCCTCATTCAAAAACTTGAGGGAAAGAAAATATGAATATAAAAATCGTTTTACTTTTACTGATTTAGAAGGTCTTAAGAAATAATTGCAGGGATATCAGAAAAAAATGCTTTTTTTAGGGAGGAATTCATACATCATAGCACAACAATAAAAAGATAAATTCACTTTGAATACAAAACGACCACTTATAATAAAAAAGATAGTGACATCATTTTTTATTTACTTTAATAATGGCTGGAGAAGACGATCTCATAGAAAGAATCTATGATCATGAGTTTACGCTTACACTCAATGTGACAAAGATCCAGCTGATAACAAAAAAAAGAGAAAAATAGAGGCCAGAAGACTCATCGCAGTGTCATTAGAAGTTTCAGGGTTCAGTGTTAGAGTCCCACTTTTATCTAAATAGGATCCACTGCATTACTCCCTCAACTGCTTCACAAAGCTCTCGCATTTTGCTATTTACCTTACGTTAATACAGACTATCCAATAACCTTCTCAGTTTTGGGACACCGCTGTGTTTCCACTAAATTAAATCAAACTTTATGATTATGACTATTCAGCCGCCGGTGAGAACCAAGCCATATACGTCAGTCATGAATATCGCTTAAGCAACGAGGTCTATGTAAAGGTGATCGAGCTTCAATGAATGGTATATGGTTTTATTATCATGGCCGGCTTCGAAATGCTACTCTGCAAAGATAAAAACATTGTGGGGCAATTTAGACGATTACGAGTTTTGAGACAGTATGGTCTTTGGTCACGTTTCTTATCCCAAATTCTTTACAAAAAAATGCTGATGGAATTTCCGTATTCACCCTATTTGGAACCATTACAATCCAAATAGAGCGTATGTATCGAACAGAGGAAGTTTCAACTTGCCTTCTGAAATTTATCAGCAGGTTTAAACAGATCCATGTGATTGGTATATATTGTTAGAAACAAAGACCAGGTCAGTTTATACAATGCGTTCTAACTTTTTAAACTTGATCCTGAAGAACCAATCTTGATCAATAAGGCAATACCACGGTCTTATTGCATGTAAGTCCACTTCATAAGAAATTCTAATAAAGGGGGACAGTTATTTCCTTTCTCTTCTCGTTTAATATAGCAACGTCTCAGCTAAAGAGGTGAGTCCTAATTAAGGGTAAGCCAGTTGGGAATCGTCTTGGGTAATTTCGAGACCATGGTATATTTAATTAAATCTTGGAAAAAAGGATTGGTGCATTAAGCTAGGGCTTTCAGAAAAAATATTGAAAAAGATTAGAAAATAATAAAAATAGGCCACGAAAGTGTCACCTGAAGAGAAGTTATTACATAATTAAACTAAGGTATCTAGCTGTCAAAGAAAAAAAACTAATGGATCATCAAAATTAAAATCCTCGGCGTGAAGAAAATTATTTGTGTAAAACCAAGGAGTTGATGTCTTCTCCGAAGTCCCAATCACAGATTTCTCTCTGAAGAAAATAACCTATGACACGCTATTGAAGTTGAACACGTTTGTTATTAAAAACAAGTTCTTAAAACTTCACCTAGCCTTTGTTTATCAATTAAATATGTAAATTTACCCACCAAAATACAATTTAACTCCTCAGGTTCTCTGACAGCTTCTATTGTCTTCTTCAACTTCCTCAGTCAGAGCAGTTTTGTGGTTTCTGGTCTAATTTCTAGATTGTTGACATCGATGACTCTTAGAATAAATAATCAGAGGATGTTTATGACCAATAAAAACATTTCAGGCTGAGCATGCATCGAAGACCTTGAAGAAATAGCTGATTTTTTTTTCTAGTTTTATATCAGTCTTTTTGATTACCTTGGCGTAAATTGAAAATCTTCCAAATACTTTCATCGATTCGTGTTTACTTTGGACAGGTGCTATATAATGTGTGTATTTCATTATTTAGCTTAGATCGTAACTGGCGCTCCGTTAAAAGCTTGATGGTTTCTTTTTCTTCTGTTCCAAGGTTAGTATTGACATATCAATATCGGTGAACAGCCCACGAATTTAAGTTTAACTTTGTTAGATAATTCAGTGAGATGATTTCTCAGCTTAAAGTACCCTTCCAACAATTTAATTATTTCTAACATTCGATTTCGAAACCGACACTAAATATGCAAAATATGGACAGACTTAAAATGTGCAAAGGTTTGTTGATAGACAAAACATCGAAGTGATCAGTTGGCAAGGAAGTAACTTAGAATAATTTCCCTGGGTAAAAGAGGCAAATGGCTGGCTAGAGAATAATTTTAGAGATGTATAATCGTTATACTGTCGTTCTATGTAATTTATAGGCAAAACGTTTATTTCTATCGAACAAGAAGATAAAATTTAAACCTTTACCAAAAGGGAAACAAGGAAAAACGTGTCATTTAAACGTCAACATGTGAAAGGGGTGTTCCTTACGGAGCAAACAAAATTGCATCTGCAATTTTTGATTAAGCTGTTGCTTCTACAGGCTTGGTGAAACGTACCCTAAGAAGGAAAAGGATATTAATTGCCCTTTTTGGTGATAACTATCGAGATGATGAATTTTACCGTCCACAAAGAGAATAAGACAACGGCTCATTCGACAATTTTTTACGACCAGACAACTCGCGGAATCATGGCCATTCTGAATTGCCTGTTGTTGCTTGCATCTATCGTGGGGAATGCTTTAGTCCTGGCTGCTATGAAGAAGATTTCTTCCATTCATCCAAACTCATTGACTCTGCTCTGTAGTCTTGCTGTTTCAGATCTATTGGTTGGTTTCGTGGCTCAACCGATTTTCATAGCCGGTATTCTAACGAGAGATAAGTTCGTTCAAAACCTGTCGGCAGTGGCAATGGGTTCGGCGTGCTCAGTGACGCTTTGGACGATAACTGCCATAAGTATGGATCGACTTATGGCTCTTCGATATCACATGAGATATGGTTCTTTGTTCACCGAATCTCGGGTCAGATATGCTGCGCTAACTATATGGTTGGTCAACGTACTCCTTTCTGCCTCCTATCTTTGGATAGAACAAATATACAAATTTACCATGGGTATTGTGACTGTAATCTGCTTAATAATTTCAGCATCTTGTTATATTTTGATATACCGTGTGGTTCGCCTGCATCAAACCCAGATTCTAGCTCAACAAGTAGCAATTCACCCTCCTTTGGAAAGAAATGGTACAGATATGAGACGTCTACGTAGAAGCGCTATTAATACTTTTATATTTTTCATGTTTTTGATCATTTGTTATTCTCCAATGTATGTGATACTGTTCCTTTATGGATTGTCCATCATAGAGTGGAAAATAGAGTTCAACTTTTTTACTACTTTAGTGTTCATGAACTCGTCAATTAACCCATTCTTGTATTGCTGGCGGGTCAGTGAGTTACGAGGGGAAGTCTTACACACTGTAAGAAGATTGTTTTGTAAACATACGGTGGAAAGCTAGAATTTGAAGATGGGGCTCAATACAGCCAGCCTCTTGATGCGACGATGTGAACTTGTTCACACTCGGGTTACAACTTATGCATCGTTGTCTTTTCTTGTGACTACGTTTCAATTCCAGAGAATAAAAACTAAATATGTATACAACTTGACTTTAATGTTGTTCACCCCGCGGCCAATAAATACGTCGTCGGATGTTCGAAAAGCACCATATCTTCTGGGCGAATTGTTGAGATGGAATAACCCACCAAATAATACATAAATCAATATATAAATAAATAAAATTTTTAACTCGTGTTATTTTTTATTCCTAAAATCTTTTTTGAAAAGTAAGTTGAATTTATTCGCTGTAATATTTCAACGCACTTATTACCCGTCGAGATGACTTGTGCATCTCATAAATATTCTCTCTTTTCGTGATCCCAACGAGTTCAAACATGGATGAATTAAGAAAAAACACATTGGCGTGTAAGTAACTATAAGGCGGATTATATGCACAATAATGCTCATAACTTGTTAAAATCCGCATGGACTTTCAACTTAAAAACAAGAAAACATAACACGATGTGATCGAGTGGGATGGACCTATGGTTCCTGAATAAAACACAAACCTATTTGACATTCTAGAAAAATATAAGACGCCTGCAATCAGAACCTTCACAAAATTTAAATACAAACATTGTGAGCTACTGTTATCACTAAAACATGACAAAAATTTATTTCCTATTCTTACTTCGCTTTGCCAATTTTATAATAAATTATATCATGATAAGAACAGGTGTTTTTCTCTGTTTTCAGATTTAAATGCTGAAATTTTTCCTATAATAACAACTTAATGTTCGGTTATTGAGCTGAGAAAGTCAAAGCGCAATTAATGGGAAAAAACTGTTGATGTATGAGCTAAAGGCGTATTTTTTTTTTGTTCTTTCCTGAGATGCCGCACGTTTCAAGCAGATTGAAGTGACAATATTGTATCGTCGAAACATTAAGGGATCGATGGAGAAAAGAAAAGAAATAACTTTTTTTTCAAAATTTTCTTCATATTTTGCCAAGAATTTGGTTCAGACTAAGGGTGAAAACAAAAACAAAAAAAACAGAACATATCCACGGGCATTGCAGTTCATTTTTTTGATGTTTGTTTTCGTTTTCGTAATGATAAAATTAAATGAGTGTAATTTCTCAATACGCATAGGGTTTACTAGTATGACGAGGTTGCATTGTGCAAGTCGCAGTCTCCTTGGTAGCCCAAAACAAACAATGATTTCACAAACTTCAAGTGAAGCTAATTTTGGTGACTGTAATTTAATCAACTTGAACATCTGCAGGACATGGCTATTAGCTTTTGGCACGACTCCTAACCACTAAATTTGTGAATATTGGGTTACTATCCACCTATCCATTTTTTCAAATATTCCCGAGTTGTTTTTTTCTAATTCTACATTGTTTGAGTAAAATTGAAAAGGAGAGATGGCAATCCTAACCAAAATAGACCTGTATGAGCGAGCCTCTTAAGAGAGTGTCTCTGTAAGCGCGGTCGGGTCGATTTTGCTTGAGACACGGATTTCGCTCGTTTCTTGTGTGTTGTAAGGCATTCATGTACCTATACTAAAACAACAATCAGTTTGATCGGATCTCCTTACTTTTCGGAGTTTTACAAAAATTAAATTTACCTCATAAACGTGACCGCTGACCAGTCGCTAAGTGAAAACAGTATAGCGCGGGGTGGGGTGGGTGGCGGGCTTATCGTCATAAGATATTCGAATACATGCTTAAAAAGCTTTAGGACTATCAGTCTAAACAGTGAAGGCATGCTTGGTGGTACAGACAACTTTTATTTTATTCTCATAACTTTCTCCTTTAAATTAGAGCTGGTATTAATTAATAGAGTTATCAATATATTTTTAACCGGGGTACCCTTATAACCTTTTTGCCTGTCATTTTCCACCAGAACCTTTAATTTATGCCCCATTGCACGGAATGAACACTATACTTAGAATGTTTGTACTAAGTAATTTTTGCTGTTCCCAAGAATGTGTGCAAAATGATAGAGATTTGATTCATTCCACTGAGACGTTCTTTTAATAGCGCGTGCAGGTTTTTCCTATCAAAAGTCGCGCGTGCAACACACCGGAATTGAAAATTCGTCGTAAAATCGCACGAACCTTAGAAGGAGTGTAGGCAACTTTGACTTCTGGCGAGATGAAGTGGATGGTTCAAAGGACCCCCTGAGATTTTTTCAGGACTATAAGTGAGATTTGTTTATAACTATGATAATCGTCCTCAATGGCGGACGGTGATTTTTACCCATTGTTGTCATCATTATCGTTATCACGCCGGAAGAAGTGTAAAGCCGGCATGTCGCCTTACCTAACTACACAGAAAATTGTTCTCTCTTTTGCTCCCCTTGGATCCTGGAAACTGTTACTATTAGGACGATCAAAAAGAAAGCCTTTATAATTATTGAAACTTTTGATTAACAGATTGTAAGAAAAAATCGGTGGGGAGAGTTATTCGCGTATCTTATAACCTAAACGATAGTTTTCAATAAAACAAATACCCCTTAATTCAATTTACCTTAGTTGTCTCGTGTTTAAAAGTGGCGTTTCTGGGGACCGTAGGTTCTTCCCTGATTCTTCTTGTCTCAGCTAAGACTCACTACCATCAACTTTTTTCTTGTGCCTCTTACGGCATGGGACACAGAGAGCTGAGGTAAGCGATTGAAAATTTCTCAGTTAAAGTAAAGCCCAGTAGCATCCATCAGGAATTGAAAACCGTCATGCACTGTTTACTTCTATTATTCTTAATCGAATAAGGGGTGTTTTAGTCTGCAAATTTAATCATACTGGTTAATGAGAATCATACAAACTGAGGAAAACTGACCGCAAATGATTGTGAACCGTACGCATGAATAAGTGTATTGCGTTGTCAGGTGATTAAACCTTCTACAAAAACATTATTGATTATCAACCAAGCAACATTGCACATATTTCCATCTACAATTAAAAGCACTTACACATAGATCTATGTTTTTTCAACGTGATGTGTACTTAAGTACCCTTCATCTAATAAAGAATTTCTTCTCTTTTCGAGCAAATATGTCACGTGACAAAAATATATAACAGAAAATGTTACTGAAGACTACCTGATTCAACTGGAATAATAACTCCAAAAAGCTTTTGAATGTCCTGAGACATATGCAAGGTAATTACATCTCTGCCTTGGATACGCTTCCTGACACCATCATGATCAGGATACTGACATGTTACCTTTGCAATTCTCCAAAACTTCCCCAAAGTGTGGCGATACCTATAGCAAATCCACATTTTTTTTGTTTATCCTCCTGAGCGAGGTGAAATAGGCCAATCCTTGCCAAGATTAGCTCATTTTCACTTAAGACCTCTTTAGACAGGTGGCAGCTTATCAAATGATGTTTTACTTCGTCATTGCATTCAGACAATCGTACCAAACCACTTAAGCCACGCGATCAACCAAAGTTTTTTCCACCTTTACTATTCAAAAAGCAGTCCTGAGACGTAATGAACGTCTCTCTAGCGAACGACTTCTTCCTATGCTTGTAATTGTTTCCAACGCGATACAAGTTCGGGAGATCTAAAGGAACTCATTATAACTTTGTATACTCGATACGATTTCAATTTCCGCGTCAAAGGATAAGCCTACTGTGGTCAGTGGTGGCGCTCGTGAGGTAAAGAATGGGTTTGTGACTTTCTCACTCAATTGAAAGACTCGCGTTACTCTTATGAAATGGTTGAACGGAATACAGACTTCGAGCAGTCTCTTATTTTTCTTAAAGATGGTGAGGTCACGCGTATCCTGTGAGCATGGAGAAGCCGCGATACGCGAGACTCGTGTCTCGCGTCTTTGCCGCTCCACGCTCTCAGAGTTGGGCGAAGACAAGACACGTTATTTCTGGTGCGATACAAGAGGTTCAATGGTTATCACGATTATCTAAACACATTTATTTACGTGGTAAAGATTTGTTTGTAAATGTATGAATTGATGCCAGTCCTATTTGGAACGAAATGTATTTGAAAGAAAAAAGAATACTAAGTAAAACAAAAGTTGTCTGCAACACGAAGCATGCCTTCACATTAAGACTGACAGTCCTAATGTTTATCATGATACTTTAATGCATATGTTCGAATGTTCCCAAAAATCTTCTGATAATCTGCCCGCACCCACCCCTCACCCCGCCCTCACGACTGAACCGTACTGTTTTCACTCAGCGGTTGGTGAGCGAGCACGTTTATGAAATAAACGTGGCGATCGCTACCTGATCACCGTTCTTGTCGATCGGAATGTCAAAATACCAGCGTGATATTGCCGCGAAGATGAAGCAGTTGTGTTATTTGATTCGTACTTCACATTCGAGTCGAAGCTTGGGTGGCACAGGTTATTTCTTACGGTGGAATCGACGAGGGGAATTCGAACACTAGTCGTAGTGTTTGAATTGTTGGAAGAAATGGTCGCATGGGGATGGCAAGTTTAACGAACATACCTTTTCTATGGTACCTACTTCCTGGCTATGTTAGTTGGATCAGTTTAGAACGCCTCACTTTTTCAAAAATTTACCTTGAATCTGATCGGTTTTGGCGTCTGTGATTTAGGCAAATCGATAAGGTGTCATTCAAGTCTTCCTGCTTCCTTGATTGAAACGTGATGTTTACGAAAGTCGCCTCGATAGATAAGGTAAAGTTAATATACATGGCTGTGGTATTTGTTTTTTGCTGAGTTCCTTAGTCTTTTGTAAATTGTCCTCCAAAGTTGTATGAAAATAAAGTCTTGAAAAGTGTCACGGCAAGCCTTTGCTCGAGTGAAATTTAACTTCCGTAAAACTCTGAAAAATAAAGAGATCCGATCAAACTGATTGTTGTTTTAGTATAGGTACATGAATGTCTTGCAACACACAAGAAACGAGCGAAATCCGTGTCTCAAGCAAAATCGACCGGACCGCTCTTACAGAGACACTCTCTTAAAGGTGGCTCCATAGATATGTTAATCCAGGATCCTTCCGTCGGGAAGGTTGTCAGTTATAAAGCAGCCTAGCATTAAGAACAACAGTTGTACAGTAGTTGATGAGAAACTTTAATTTGAATGTCAAGATTCTACACAAGAGATGCAAACAATGACAAAAGTCATTCAAAGTTTTCACGATAACATTAAGTGTGGTCTTGAATATGTATGTACTTATTGTGATCAATTATGGTATCGGTCCTCTGTCAGAAAGTGTGAAGCAAACAAATATCCTAAATGTTCCGAATCTTTGCTCGAAGCATGTAAAACTACTATTGCTAGTATAGATAATACGAAATAGATTTGCTCTACTTGCCAATCAAACCTAAGTAATGGGAAGCTACTAGTCCGTTCTAAAGCAAACAAAATGGGATTCCCTATGAAACAACAATGTTTAAACTTGACGCCTTTAGAAGAAAGATTAATTTATCCGCGTATTGCATTATTGCAGATACGTGAACTCCCTAGATGTAGACAATTATCTATTCATGGCGATGATGTTAATGTACTAGCTGATGTAAATTAACTGTTAACGCTTTAACAAGACCAATCAATGCATCACAAACTATCTCCATCAAACTTAAACGAAGGTTGAGTTAGAAGCGTCATTATCAATTTCAGAGTGTAAGACCAAGAAAAGTGTCAAAAGCAGCAAAATACCTTTTTAAAACAAGTGAATTGTTTCAAAATGAGCTTATAGAAGTTCAAGAAAATTGGCTCAATAATCCCGATACTCGAGGTAATGTTGCTCTTGCAAATCAACGTAAGGAATGGAAAGAATTCATCAGAGTAATTCACACTCATAAGCAATGGTGATGCTGAAATATATTCAGCTGATCCTGTACCTGAAATTACTATTTCTGAAACTACTCAAAGATATGATAAGTACACCGAGCAATTAGTCACTGAGTATAAAGACAATCGTGATAATGTATGGTGGGAAGTTGAAGAGAGAATTTCAGGTGTCAGATACTCTATAACAAGAACCAGATACGACTGAAAATGTTGAAAAGGCGATAACTTTTGCACCAGGAGAAGGAAACAAACCTTTAGGCATATTTATGGAGAAAGACTCAGATTCCTATCATTTCCAACTATTTACTGTGGTAAAACTCGAGCTGATAATTAAGGCAGAGCAACACCTGTCCATCACAATATAAGGTATGAGTGGGAACTAAAATGTCAAGAGAGAGTAGCACAATCAGCACCGAACGTCTTTTACAAATCAAAAAAGTTACAAATTAAACAAATTCAAAATACCGCCTGTATCTCTCTAAGAAAGTGTAAAAAAAAAGCCAACAAATATACTGCAGGTGACCTAAAATCAGATAATTATGTAAATAAATTAATTTATTTTGAAGGGTTTAGAGTAAAGAAATCTAAGAGGGTCACCAGCTTACTTTGATAATAGCAAGAAAGACTTGTTTGCTGTAATACGTCAGCTGAGTAATCCTGCATGGTTTTGCTTATTGTCAACAGCAAAAACAAGATGGTCAGATCTCCTGAAAACATTAGACAGGCTTGTAGAGAAGAAAGACTACATTAGCTATGAAATTGAGAATACGAGACGGCAACAAAAGTCAGATCTTATTCAAAAGGACCCTGTAAACTGATAGCCAACCAGCCAGCCGTTCATTTGCAACTTTGTGGGGATTCAATCGCTATCCAATGGAATCCTATTCAAAGCAAACGAGGAGGAATGGAGGGAGTAACTTTTTCACAACCCGCAGCATATTCATACCAATTTTATGTTTTAAATCTTCGATAGTATTCGCTTTTATGGAAAAAGTGAAGTTTAAGGTACAGGTCAAACGATAGCCGAAATGTCAATTCTAACTATTCACCCAACATCACCCCAGCAGTTTAAAGTAATTCCAAGTAGTTTCAACTCTATCCGAGAGTTAGCCATTGACTGCCTATGTTTACATGTAAAAGTGTATGTTTTTGTGGAGAGGAATTTAATTATCTTCAAAACCCATTCAAACGTAATGTATTCACGACTTATTCACAGTTCCTTTTGATTACCTTCTTTAGTAAGATCCCGCAAGCTGCCAATGCAACCATTCAAAACCATCTTGATCAAACGGAGCTTAAACGCTGCCAGTTTTTAAATGTACCACAATATGACATGCAAGGGAATTCATGGACCATATGCAACAATTGTCATATGAAAGATGTCAGCGATAGTAATAAACACGATTTTTACCAAAAATGGATACGACAATAAAATGTTTTCTAACGTCTCAAACGTCGATAAGATTCTGACACCTTTTACATTTGTTACCTCGATTCCATGCCTGAGGATATGAGGTGGGCGCACTTCATTATGCATACAGTCATAGATGCTGAAAAAAAGAAATGGAGATCTGTCGGTCAATAAACACCCAAACGCCACAAAACATACGCGGGAAAGAGCTGAGAAAATTGCGAAGAAAGCTCTCAGTACACACGCCTAATTTCAATAACGTTGGCACAGAAAAAAGCGAAAAGTGAAATAAAAAACTTTCAAGAAAGCCCAAGAGAAATTTATTGACATTCAAAATTGCCCTCTTGATATATCCCGACACCAGAACGATTTTTACAGAATTTCCATCCAAAAATTATTTCCAACTTCTTGAGAGCATAAATTCGATGTTGCTTACAATTTTTGAAGCGATTTCTTAGAATTAAGAAAAAGAGATGTATGCCAATGCCGTATGCGTATGCTATAGGCTATTAAACTTCCAATTTGGTTTTTTTCTAATAATTTTTCTGTAATTATTATTTGTCTTTTTGCTCTTTTCTACGATAAAGTTGTTGAAATTTTGTCTATTTAGTGGAAAAAGAAAAGGTGTTTCGTATGAACATAATTTTACTAGCTAGATTATTTTGCAATTTAGAGTTTTGCATCAGAGGATCAAAAGAATTCGAAACAATAGATCTTCGTAATTGGCGATCATATGGTTGAAAAATATATGATCGGCGGAACGGAAAATGTGCGCCTTGGCCGTCTGAAACAATGAGATTCAATTGATGTTTCCTTTATCTAGATGTTCCAGTGTTCAATTAACTCTAAAATCCAGCGCGATGTTTATTTTTGCGCCATGTGATCAATTGCGGCGAAAAGCCTTTGAACACCTGCGATAAGATACTGGACAACAAATCATTCCAAAAAGCGCAGAAACCAAGTCACTGCAGAAACCTGCTACGTATGGCATAGATATTTATAATTCCAATTTTTTTCAAATTCTGAGTTCTTTTTAAATTCTGAATAATTATATATTTCTTTAAAATGTTTGATTTTTTTGAAGAAGCACACACGAAATGGTTTGTCGCAAAGTCCCACCAACCATTATGTGTTCTTCAGTTTAACATGTTATTTTTTAAAATGTAATAATAGTTTTATCATATTGATTGGAGTCACAGAATACCCTTCCACTTTCAAAGAAAAAAATTGCGTGAGAATTGCCACAGGAACAGGAGTAACATCAGTCGAGAATGACATCGGGATGGAAACAAATCAATTGCATGCACGCAGAACAAACAAATCAGCGTGCAAAGATAACAAAATGTCCCTGAGTCAAGAAAACACATCACTCAAACCAAACCAGAACCCTTAGCTGTGATCAGACTATACTGATCTGATTCGTGATAACATGTTTTAAAGTTGTGGGGCATCCAGTGAATAGCGACAACTAAATGAATATCTGAGAATGAAGATAATTTAATCTAACGAGCCGCGAAGCAGCTGAAATTGCTTCTAATTGCCTTGTTTTTTAGAATATGGCTCTTTTCCCATTAACAAATCTCCTTCTTTAGAATATTCTAACGAGATCCATTTAGTTCATTATTATTTGTCTCCTTTTCAGGAATTAAAGTTGTGTAGGTACTTGAAAACATGTAAAGGAAAATGAATCTGCTACACGATCATGGCAAGTAATAGAAGTGGGTCGCATTGTTGAAAAATCAATTCATCTTCAAATTGATCTTTACTGATATTCCCAATTGATAAACTCAATGTTTACACAATTTGCTTGGAAATTACATGACGTTTTTTAATTATAGATGACTACTTCATCTACAGAAGCTAAATAAAGTCGATAGGAGCTACAGTAGATTTATCAAAGTTGACTTTTCAAGATGGCGAGCGATTCGCACTCAGGACGGACTTTAGTCATCGTAAACTGTATTCTGAACGTTCCACTGATTTTAATATGCATCGTGGGAAATGCTTTGGTTCTCGTTGCTGCTTCAAAGAGTCGTTGGATTCGGTCAAGTTCCATGGAAATTCTCTCCAGCCTTGCATTTTCAGATCTTCTCGTTGGTATCATTGCTCAACCACTTTTCCTGGCTCACCAGTTTACTAAGGAGTCCTTTTTAAACAGTCTCATGGTACTGATAGTGTACCCTATTTGTGGAGTTTCTCTGTGGACATTGACAGCCATAAGCGTCGACCGATTTTTAGCCCTTCATTTCCACATGCGATATGTAACGTTGGTTACCACAACTCGTGTGAAAATTTCGATCGCTTTTATTTGGCTGTATAACTTCGTTTCGTCTGCTTTATATTACCTCGTTCCCTTCATATACTTCTTCATAATGGCTCTCTCAACTGTCATCTGCATATTAACTTGTTTCCTGGCATATCTCGGGATCTATTTCATTGTCCGCCATCATCAATTACAGATTCATGCCCAACAGCAAACAGTAGAAAGTAAAGATGTAGCCGGAAATGTTAACGGTATCAGTATGGCTCGACTAAAGAAGAGTGCCATGAACACTTTCGTATTTTTTATCTTTTTCGTTATTTGTTATTTGCCAATGTATGCTCTGTTAACTTTCGCAATATCAAAACGGGCGCAGTGGACGACCGAGTACGATTTTTCTATCACCGTGGTTTTTCTTAATTCTGCCATAAATCCATTTTTATTTTGCTGGCGTCTTCAAGAACTTCGAAGAAACGTTTTAAAGACACTAAGGAAGACTTTTTGAAAACAAACAGACATTAACTAATTTACTAAATATTTATTTCCATTTCCATTCGATTAAGAATGCTGTTAATAAAGAAAGTCCTAATGTAGGAACGGGACAGTTCCATGTTGCGCCTCTTTGTCTGTTGCCAACCAACTGTAAAGGTATATTTAAAAATTTATTCGAACTAAATATTATGATAATACTTAGTTAGAATAAATTTGAACGTTTTGGATTAGCTTTCAATAACAAAGATGGATTAAAGGAAAAACACAATGAACTAGGCTGGCTGTTTTCTTTTCAATAAATGCTTTCAATACGCTAGAAGTTGAAGGACAGTGAACGATTAGGTACAAATTGTTATTCGACTTTGCATGTACGTTAAGATTTAATTCAACTTCGAATTCATTTTAGTCCAATTGAGTCTGATATGAATGCCCTTAATTAGTAAAAAAAGCAGTTGAAGGACGGTTGGTGTTTAGTTGCGAATTGTAAGTTAACTGTCCATGTAAATAAAAAGCTAGACCACGTGTATATATTAAATTTTACCTATAGAAAACAGGAATTCGCTGTGTACCAAATCAATGCTTAAATTAAGATGAATTGTAGCCAAGAATTTCAAATTTATAGGAAATATACCAAATAACAGCATAACCTTAGGTGTTTGAAAAGAAATTGCACGAGAATAACGATGTAAATATTGTAAGCGGCGTAAAATTCTTTTCTATTACGAATACTTTAGGCCAGTTTGGTATAAAGCGTAATTATTGTTTTAAAGATTCTCCTTTTAGTTTCCAAATCTCTTGATGCTATGGAACCGTTGTGATTGTCAGAACTTTTAGCTTATCGTAGGAGTTCGTATTCACCTATCAGCAAAGGTGATGTCGCTACCGAACCACCTTCGAGAACACCCGTACTTATGGTGATTGGTCCTCCGCTGTGTGTGCTCAAAGACTGTGTAGATTTTTGTCGCTGTTTATTCGCAGAAGTTCATCAGTTGGCATTTTTAAGCAACGTACGTGGCTTCGCCTTCTATAGGAGCCACTAAAAGCTTTAAAGACTGACTCTTTTAGGAAGTTTGAAGCTTTTTAATGAACTTTCTTTCTGGATTTCTGCGCTTTAGAAGCACTCCATTATTATAACATTATTATCATTACCATTATTAAAAATATTATTATTATTAAATTAAAGTAAATCGAATGGAAGCACATGATAGTATTGTGCACTATAGGCCCGAGTGAATATTGCAAGTGACTTCATATATTTCTTCATTAAAAAAATAGAATTGAAGTGAGATAAAAGAAATTGAAGCAAATGAGGGATATTCTGTTGCTTATGAAGAGGCGATAACAATATAAGACTGTCTGGGACTTTTCCAGTATGTCGTTTGGCATCAAGACATGGGAAATTCAGCGCTCATCTACATGTCACCTTTCTACAACCAAATTTCTTCGGTGCAAGCTCGAAGCCGGAATTGCTTTACTGAAATTGAAAGAAGAGCCCACACGGCGTGTTTATACGCATTAAAATTAAATATTTCTTAGGCCCTCCTCGCGTTCTTCTAAGGTCCACTACATTATTACATCACCCTTCTGTATGTTCTCATTAGCACTCTTAACAGAACTCATGAGAGGTTAGTCTTTCTAAAATCAGAAACAAATTCCTCTCGAAATATGGTGAGAAAAATTTTGCTGCGGCATGAACATAAACTGTCATTTATTTTATTCTCATTTTTTGCTTGCATACCCTTTAGAGGACTTTAGAGCCAAGAGGGTTTGTGACACCGCACTGGTTCAGGGGATACGTTCCCAGTATTTTTGCTGAAAGGATTTTTTAATTTTCTTTATCTGGCTCAGACATTCCTGATTAATTTTATGAAGTTATTTATGATCCAACTGCCTTTTTTTTCTGTCAAGTCTTTCTACTCATTTCTTATAGGGCGGGAAGAGCAAAACGGATGGAGAAGCGCAACGTGCGCAGCTAACCTGTTAATTTGGTTGCTTTTAGCCTCTCACTGGCGCCAGGCTTTATAATTAACAACGGATGAGTAAGTGGGTTAGTTTCTAAGGAAACTGTGGTGTCGCGTCGGCGAGGGGTACAACGGTAGTTTTGTTTATAATCCAATTGGGGAGTTCAAATAATGCGACTATATATATCACATGTATATTGCGATATAGATAGATATAGACTGCATTTTGAGTAGAAATGAGAGTGGCCGAGTGGTTAAGGGGTTTAGTTTCGGGTTAAAGTCCTCTTCCCTGCGATAATAATGTTATAATAATGACTTTGTTCTCGATTGCTTGAGTACAACTTCGTGGCTGCTCTTTGTCTGTAGCCAATTGGTTTGCTTCCAGCCAATTGAAATTTTAAACTCTTCGTTTACTTGCCCTGTTTATTGACAATTTGTGTCAGTGAACAAGAAGAGCCACTTCGTAAAATGTCCACTGCTAAATCCCATTATGTAAGATTTCCCAGGAATAGAGTTAGCGGTAAAAATACAAAGCGAGGCCACCCATGCCATTGTGACATCCTCTGAAAAATGGAAAGCCGCATCTTTTTTGCACTGATTTGCAGTGGATTGGCCCCGGAAGCAAGCCACATCACGAAACTTGTACAAAGATGCTCCAACTAGCTGCCATAGCAATTACAAAGTGAAAGCCAGTGCTAAGAATTTTACATGATGCGGATTTCTTCGTCTTTGTCCGTCTGCAAAAAATCGCCAGCAGCAATTAGCTGATTCTTTAACAGTGGCTGGCGTATCTCCATACAAGCTTTCATGGAAATGTTAATACCACCTGACCAGGATAAGATAAAATTAAGGTGACCTTACACCGAAACAAAAATTTTACAAAGAATTTCCAATTGATATCAGCTGAACCCTTAGGCGGTGGAAAGACTCCATGACTTTTAACCGGATATATGGTAGTTTTTTTACCTTAGTTTTTGTTATTGAGAACTTAAGATATTACTGCTGTTATGGTAAATACAATAACGTACCTTTAAAGTGCCTTTGCCGTAAGCTCAATCAGCTTTTACGTATGTAGGACTCGTGATTGGCTTCTTTGATCACCAGGCAATCGTGTATGATCAATACAGATTTTCTAATACTGATATACTTTTTAACATACCTTCCATTTGCTTTCCAGCGAAAGATTTCTTGACACACCTTATTACGCCTCAGCTTCTTGGGAGGGAAATAACTCAGTGATGCTCCGCAGATAAGAGAACCCGTGTAAATTACTAGTTAGATGTATTTTCCAATTTTAATTTTTTTAAAAAAATTTCAAGATTTTTAGACCCTTTTTGAAACCAGATTCCCTTTCTTTCCCAGTCTTTCGAGTTCACGTTCCATACAAAGCAGTTTCCTTCAAGATTTGTGTACTTTGCTTAACAGAATTTGATCATATGAATTAATGTTTAAGCGTTGGACGAAATGAAATACGGTTTGCATAAATCAATTGATTGAACAACTTGTCAGTTGAGTTGTTGTCTGAATCACTGCAAACAGTGAAACTGTCGATATAATTATTTTCATTTCTGTTTGCGGCGAAAATATACATATTTTTCATTACTTTATAATATAAGTAAATGAAACATTGAATGAAAAGATCCTTGTTAATCAGTTCAGGTTAGTTTAGGAGCAGTTCATTGTTTCATCGCTAGTCAGAGCTCTGATTCGCCCCTGCAAAGATTGACCACATTCGTCTAACAACCTCAAGAGTATTAAACGAAGAATCACGCCTGAGATTCTCCTGACTGACACAAATAGTCATGACGCCTCTTGGAGTTAGGCGCTCTTCAAATTCACTGCAACGATTGTGCGCAATAAATATGTGCATTAAGGATGCGCACAACCTTTCAATCAACCTCACCTTACACTGAATTAGTTGCGTTTGAACATGTACGTTACAAAATAAAAATACCATGAGTCTCAGCGATAAAAATGAAATGGAATTGGATTATCAGGATTTAAACACCTTTATATGTTTAAGGAAAACATAAATAGGCGAAAATTTATGAATATATGTTATTCGCCAGCTGGGAGATCCGTATTGGGAAAAACTGTGCCTGAGGTCTTGAGCACCGCCCGACCTAGGACCGACCTAGGCTGATGAATAACATTTCTATTTTTTTAGCTTAAATTTGACGAAATTCTTTCCAAAAGAACCCAAATGATTTAGGGTTGTAATTACAGCAAGATCTTCCATAAACTGAACAATTTTTGAGCGAGTAAATGTTAGTTAAAATAGAGGTAAGCAAAGTTAAAGAGAGAAGCTTCACCGAAACATTTTCATTTGCGTAATGATAAAGGTGACTTAAAAGGCTTCCAAACAAACTTTGAAACATTACTTTTACAAGTATCTGCCACAATCTGACACCTGTCAATAGGAGAGCGCTTAAGAAAAAAAAAAGCGCAACTACACTTTTGAAAAAACAACGGGACTAGTTTGGCAACAGTGTCTTTCTCCATAACAGTCAATGATCTTACGGAAAGTATTATTCACTCTCATCGACGATTGATAAATGTACGAAGATTTACCTCTGTTCAGTAAGTAAATGGCAAGGAAAGGTATTGTAAGTAAATTCAATTTTTTTTATTTTGAAGTTGTGAGAGTTTGCTGGTTGACACTGCAAAAACGTATGTAAATCTGGTGTTTCCTTCACAAAAACTAAATTCGAATGAGACACTTCAAATAGACGCAAGAGGATTTAATGCGGTTTTTCATCATTGAATTCATTCAGTTTCTGTTGCGCAATTTACGGTATACAATTGTCCAAACTGAACGGACTTGGAAAGACTCACCGAAAGCGTCTTTGTAGTAGAACTGAAACCTTCGCTCGCCCTTTCACTACGAAAAAATTGTTTGAGAGAATTCAGATATTAAATGAATAAAAGTTCCATTGATCAATTCAATTGTAACCAGCTACCTCACGTTTTAACTTTTTAGGTACTTTTTGTGAAGGATTAAAATCAGGTTTTTAGGCCGCTTTTCAACCAATTTAATGACACTTTTGCTTATTCGAATTTATTTCGTAGCCAATATTTTTCTGTCAACCAAAGTGATTTGCGAGAGAGAAAAAAGAGGATTAAAAAGTTATTAATCGGCTTGAGGTGGTGACCGACGTCTTTGCTTAAAAAATACATCGCCCAGAATGCCGCGACACATCCGGGACCTTTTGCGTAGCCAATAGCGCTAAATTTGAATTCTCGTAATTGAAAACAGGCGAAACAATAAAGAAAATGGCCGAAAACGGCCTAATGCCTTGTGTGTTTTACCAATTTTTACACAACTTAGCCCACTTAGCGATAAGGTACCCTCTGGCTTTTGTGGAAGAGGTGTTCAGCTTTTATTTAAGACGCTCATCCAAGTCGTTGGTCTTCGATAAGTTTAATCAAAGTGATCTTGAAAATGCGGCCGTTTCGCTCAGCATTCGTATGGAATATGAACTGATTAGTATTCAGATTGATTTTTTCCTCCACAAAAGTACTTCGTGACTTAGGTACCCTCTAGTAAAGAAAGTTTGATATCTCAACTAAGATTTGGTGGAATTTCGCGTTAATACGATGGTCACAAGTGTTATCAAAAAGATCATCTCCAAAAGCTACTCCGAAATGTCCTAAAAGTCCTCGAAAGTTGTTCCCTTTGGACTCCCAAGAGAGTTCCAAGAGAGTTTTTGCCCCGCCTCTGTAGACAATAGGACGCACTTTCGCCTGACGAAGCATTGTTAAGAGGTTTTGTCATGTCACACATGTGCGCCAAATTTAAATTGAAAAGTTATAAACATCTCTGTTAACACACCGTATCATCAGATCACCATTGTGCCTCATACCGTCCAGATATTGAAATGTTTTCCGTGCAAGAAATGCATCGCGTTGATTGGGAGCTCTCTTTAGAGCTCACAGAATCCCCGATCAACCCTGCCTTCATTCACATGTCTGCACCTTTAGTAAATGGCTACGATCCACTATACGGGGGCTCGCCAAAACCACATTTAAGACAAAGATTGAATGAAACTAACATTTCACTCGACCAAAGATTAGCTGGCTTTCTGAACATCGCTTTTTATAACCTTCAATCAGGCGTTTTTTTGTTGTCAGTCCGCAACCGCAAGCCTTTCACACTCGAAAACCGTCTGATTACAAGTTACGCTTTTCAAACTGCCTATTCTTCATGACACTATTTTCTAAATTTTTCTATTTCCTATTTTCATGATACTAATTTTTATAATCCCGATAACATTTAGACCAACGGGAGTCTGTCAGTCCATATAAGAATTCGCTGCAAACGAATTTGCTAAACGCTTTGTTAAGAGCGTGGCTATTGTTAATTATTGCTATTGTTCACTTTATGTCACCTTGGGATTTACTTTACGCATCCAACCGTTTGATTGACAGCAGCTGAAATCTGCAAAGAGACTCATGTATTCCCAAAGCTTTACCTGCTGACCAATCACGACCGACTAGTTCAGGATATGCAAATTATTATGCTGCCCGCTGATTAAATGGGCACTGCAAGTACATGTCGCGAAAGACAATAGCATTCTGGGCGATGACTGCCCAGCCGGAAAAACGAGATATATTTATGAAAACCCGTGGGTAGAGATAGGAAAACAGGGACCGCGTTAAGAACCAATTAGATTACAGGATTCGTTACCGTGCCCTCTGAGAAAAAAATGAGTACGGATATTTGTCCTTGGACATTATCTGTTCCTCGAAGCTCACAGTTTTCGCATCTTGGAACAGAAGATGTCCGCGGACAAATATCCGTACTTACTTCCGTGCCATAGCGCTGTACGGTGATGTAAAGTACAGTAGAGGGAAGCATAGTGCTAATCTAGGGGTACATATTGTTGTGAAGCGCTGTATAGTTACTACATTTTACGGATTAACAGTGCTACTAAGGGGTATAATATTGTATTGTGCTGTATAATGATAAAAGTTGAAGAAGAGGGATGTATTGATAGTGCTATTGGAGGGAGGGGGGAGAGAGGCACATTGGCGTGCGTGTTCGAGGCGTTTATTCTACGATGTAAGGGGACATGGAGTCAAATAACCGACGGAACGTGTTTGCTCATAATGAATCTCTCAAGTTGTTATCGACTATTCCTCTAAGTACCATAGTAACTTATCTTTTCTTCACTATTGTTTTGTCAAAACTCTTTCTTTGCGTCTACATCCAAGATGGCGGCTACCGACTCTGTGAAGTTTGTGGATTAACCTGCAGCCATCTTGAATTCGCGATGTGGGCGGATCCTGGACGAGAGTTTGACCCATTCCAAATCAGATGTTAGAAGAAGCCTTAATTTGGACATTGTAGGGCTCTTTTCCAACAAAATGCATCGATTATGTCGCCGAGACTTGGAGGGAGCTCTCTCGCTTTATAACTACTACTGTGATGAGAGGACTGAGGAGATTAAACACTGGCACGTGAGACTTAAGAGTGGGAATCAGTTGAAAGAAAACTATTTTCGCGCCAAAGTGGAGAAATTGTTTATATAGGGATGTAGTGTGATGTAAAATTCAATGGAGGGAAGCATAGTGCTATCTTGGGGCACATATTGTTGTGAAGCGCTGACTAGTTACTGCATTTTACGGATTTACAGTGCTACCCAGGGGTGTAATGTTGTATTGTGTTGTATAATAATAAAAGTTAAAGTAGAGGGATGTGTAATGCCATTGAAGGGAGGGGGGAGAGGGGCATATTGGCGTGCGTAGTCGAGGAATTTACTCTACAATGTAAGGAGACATGGAGTCGAATAATCGACGGAACGTATTTGCTCATGATAATATCGACTACCTCTTGGGAAGTATTATAGTAACTTATCCTTTTCCAATTATTGTTTTGTCAACTCTTTCGCAGGGTCTTCTCTGCATCTACATTCGAGATGTCGGCTACTGAATCTGTAGGAGTTTGTGGATTGGCCTGCCGCCATCTTGCATTCGCGATGATAAGTGGACCCTGGGCGAGAGTTTGACCCATTCGCAATCAGATAATATGTATGAACACGTCCGTCGGCTTTGAAAACCGTGTGACACAATGGAAAACGATAAAAAGTGGAAGAGACACAATCGAAGAGACGACGAACGTTTGTTAAGTGGGTGGGGGCTTGAAAATTGGAATGTTTGTACACTGTTAGCCGCGCAGATTATCAACTTAGCACGCGTGGGTCAAAACAAGCATTGAGGTCCCCATAGGATCTCTTCTCTCTGCATCTCACGTGAATCCCTTGGGAGACAGACAATGAAAATCAACGCAGTTTTCGTATTTTCTACACTTTTTATTTCTCTTACACAAAGAAGTAAAACATAAGTACAATAGAAACTGTATTAAATTGTCCAAGGCATTAAGTAAAATACGCGCTTGACAGAGACACTAAAATGAACCCATTTACTCTCAAGACTGATCACAATTTAAGTTCTCCTCACGAAATTAATACACCGACAAACATGGTGTCAATAAGAATTATAGAAAATCTAAACTGGAGGATAATTTTTTGCTCGAAATGTAATGTTGCATCGAATCCACGGAACAGAGACATTCTTATTAGTTGGAAGAATTTTCTTCAGAACTTGGGAGTTCATGAGTTAATTTAACTAAGGTAAATGAACAATTATCTTCAACTGTAAATAAAAATAGCATCAAGACACTTCACACGAAATACACGGACATTAAAAAGGCATATTTAGTTAAAACTGTCCCAGCTTGTTTTTCAAATCCTAAGTTACATCATATTCAACCGTGTCCGAGGTTAACTATTACATTTTATACCAGCATATATCAATGGTAGTTACGAAAATCTGCAAAATTAAGATGGATTTTAAAAAACTTTCTTCCAAAAAAGCTGTATTACAGTATATCTTAAATCTAAGAGAGATATTATCAGAGATCCTTAAATCATACTTAAGTAAATTTGAAGCAATGAAAAAAGTTTAAGCATGATTAGATCATGTAGGTTGTGGTACTCTATGGCTTCTTCTACATCACCCAAAAGGTAAAAAACATTACCAAGATTGACATAAGCGTTACCCTCACCATGCATGTCCCCTACTTCTTTAGCTATTTTAAGATGTAGGTTGTAGTAATCTGTGGCTTTTTTTAAGTCACCCTGACTACAATAAGCATTGCCAAGATTGCTATAAGCGTTACCCTGCCCATGCTTGTCTCCTATTTCTATAGCTATTTTAAGATGTAGGTTGTGGTACTTTATGGCTTCTTCTACATCACCCAAAAGGTAAAAAACATTACCAAGATTGACATAAGCGTTACCCTCACTATGCATGTCCCCTACTTCTTTAGCTATTTTAAGATGTAGGTTGTGGTACTCTATGGCTTTTTCTACATTACCCAGACTCTGATAGGCATTGCCAAGATTGCCATAAGTTTTACCCTCACCATGCTTGTCCCCTACTTCTTTAGCTATTTTAAGATGTAGGTTGTGGTACTCTATGGCTTTTCTGACATCGCCCAGTCTGTCATAGGCATTGCCGAGATTGCCATAAGCGTTGCCCTCACCATGCTTGTCCCCTACTTCTTTAGCTATTTTAAGATGTAGGTTGTGGTACTCTATGGCTTTTTTTACATCACCCAAACAGTAAAAAGCATTGCCAAGATTGACATAAGCGTTACCCTGCCCATGCTTGTCCCCTACTTCTTTAGCTATTTTAAGATGTAGGTTGTGGTACTCTATAGCTTTTTTTACATCACCCAAACGGTAAAAAGCATTGCCAAGATTGCCATAAGCGTTACCCTGCCCATGCTTGTCCCCTACTTCTTTAGCTATTTTAAGATGTAGGTTTTGGTACTCTATGGCTTTTTCTACATCACCCAGACTCTGATAGGCATTGCCAAGATTGCAATAAGCTTTACCCTCACCATGCTTGTCCCCTACTTCTTCAGCTATTTTAAGATGTAGGTTGTGGTACTCTATGGCTTTTTCTACATCACCCAGACTGTGATAGGCATTGCCAAGATTGCCATAAGCGTTACCCTCACCATGCTTGTCCCCTACTTCTTTAGCTATATTAAGACGTAGGTTGTGGTACTCTATGGCTTTTTCTACATCACCCAGACTGTGATAGGCATTGCCAAGATTGCCATAAGCTTTACCCTCACCATGCTTGTCCCCTACTTCTTTAGCTATTTTAAGATGTAGGTTGTGGTACTCTATGGCTTTTTTTACATCACCCAAACGGTAAAAAGCATTGCCAAGATTGCCATAAGCGTTACCCTCACCATGCTTGTCCCCTACTTCTTTAGCTATATTAAGATATAGGTTGTGGTACTCTATGGCTTTTTCTACATCACCCAAACGGTAAAAAACATTGCCAAGATTGCCATAAGCGTTACCCTGCCCATGCTTGTCCCCTACTTCTTTAGCTATTTTAAGATGTAGGTTTTGGTACTCTATGGCTTTTTCTACATCACCCAGACTCTGATAGGCATTGCCAAGATTGCCATAAGCTTTACCCTCACCATGCTTGTCCCCTACTTCTTTAGCTATTTTAAGATGTAGGTTGTGGTACTCTATGGCTTTTTTGAAATCACCCAGACTGTGATAGGCATTGCCAAGATTGCCATAAGCGTTACCCTCACCATGCTTGTCCCCTACTTCTTTAGCTATTTTAAGATGTTGGTTGTGGTACTCTATGGCTTTTTCTACATCACCCAGACTGTGATAGGCATTGCCAAGATTGCCATAAGCATTACCCTCACCATGCTTGTCCCCTACTTCTTTAGCTATTTTAAGATGTAGTTTGTGGTACTCTATGGCTCTTTTTACATCACCCAAACGGTAAAAAGCATTGCCAAAATTGCCATAAGCGTTACCCTCACCATGCTTGTCCCCTACTTCTTTAGCTATTTTAAGATGTAGGTTGTGGTACTCTATGGCTTTTTCTACATCACCCAAACGGTAAAAAGCATTGCCAAGATCGCCATAAGCGTTACCCTCACCATGCTTGTCCCCTACTTCTTTAGCTATTTTAAGATATAGGTTGTGGTACTCTATGGCTTTTTCTACATCACCCAAACGGTAAAAAGCATTGCCAAGATTGCCATAAGCGTTACCCTGCCCATGCTTGTCCCCTACTTCTTTAGCTATTTTAAGATGTAGGTTGTGGTACTCTATGGCTTTTTCTACATCACCCAAACGGTAAAAAGCATTGCCAAGATTGCCATAAGCACCACCCTCCCCATGCTTGTCCCCTACTTCTTTAGCTATTTTAAGATGTAGGTTGTGGTACTCTACGGCTTTTTCTACATCACCCAAACGGTAAAAAGCATTGCCAAGATTGCCATAAGCGTTACCCACACCATGCTTGTCCCCTACTTCTTTAGCTATTTTAAGATGTAGTTTGTGGTACTCTATGGCTTCTTCTACATCACCCAAACGGTAAAAAGCATTGCCAAGATTGCCATAAGCGTTACCCTCCCCATGCTTGTCCCCTACTTCTTTAGCTATTTTAAGATGTAGGTTGTGGTACTCCATGCCTTTTTTGAAATCACCCAGACTGTGATAGGCATTGCCAAGATTGCCATAAGCGTTACCCTCACCATGCTTGTCCCCTACTTCTTTAGCTATTTTAAGATGTAGGTTGTGGTACTCTATGGCTTTTTTGACATCGCCCAGACTGTCATAGGCATTGCCGAGATTACCATAAGCGTTACCCTCCCTACGCTTGTCTCCGACTTCTTTAGCTATTTTAAGATGTAGGCTGTGGTACTCTATGGCTTTTTTGTAATTACCCAGACTTCGATACACAATGCCAGGATTGCCGTAGCTTTCACCCTTCCCATGTTTGTGTCCTACTTCTTTAGCAATTTTAAGATGTAGGTTGTGGTAGTCTATGGCCGTTTTGAAATCACCCAGACTGTAATAAGCGTTGACAAGATTGTTATAAGCATTACCCTCCCCATTCTTGTCTCCTACTTCTTTAGCTATTTTAAGATAAAGATTGTGGCACTCAATGGCTTTCTTGAAATCAGCCAGACTGTAATAAGCATTGCCAAGATTATAGAAGTTTATGACTTTCTCAACATCATCTGAACTTGCACTACCATGGTCGTAGCTAATAGGATCCTTTTCCTCCATGGACTGATTTCCCTCTTCTCTAACAGACAGAAGTCTTATTGACAACAAAATCCTATTATTTTTGTCAATCTTTTTTTATGTTAAGGTTTAATAATGTAGAAAAAACAAAAAAGATTAGTTTTCTGGTCACATTAGCATATAACAGTCCATTTTTACAGTCGCCTGTACCTGGCGTGTAACTTAGTGTGCAGCACGCATGGTAACCGA